CTCTCTCACCACTTCTATTTAAGATAGTTCTTGAAAAACTAACCAGAGCAATTAGACAGATGAAAGAAATTAAAGGGATATGGATAGGAAAAGAGGAACTGAAATTAGCACTATTTGCCAACAATATGATTGTATACCTAGAAGACCCAAAAAATTCCACAAGAAAATTTCTAGAACTAATCAATGAATTCAGCAAAGTAGCAAGATGTAAAACCAACACCCATAAATAAAAGGCATTTCTGTATGCCAGTGACAAATCCTCTGAAAGGGAAATGAGGAAAACTACCCCATTTACAATAGCCTCAAAAAAAAAAAATTCTTGGGAATCAACTTAATGAAAGAGGTGAAAGACCTCTACAATGATAACCACAGAATTCTAAAGAATGAAATTAAAGAAGACCTTAGAAGATGGAAGGATCTACCTTGTTCTTGGATAGGCAGAATTAATATTGTCAAAATGACTGTTCTTCCAAAAGCATTACACAGATTTAATGCAATTCCAATCAAAATCCCAATGATATTCCTCATAGAAATAGAAAAATCAGTCATGAAATTCATCAGGAAAAATAAGAGACCCAGAATAGCTAAAGCAATCCTGAGCAAGAAGAGTGAAGCAGGTGGCATCACTATACCAGACCTTAAACTATACTACAGAGCAATAGTAACAAAAACAGCATGGTATTGGCACCAAAATAGGCTTGTAGACCAGTGGTACAAAATGGAGGACACAGAGACAAACCCACATCATTACAGTTATATTAGACAAAGACACCAAAAACATACATTGGAGAAGAGATAGCCTCTTCAACAAATGGTTCTGGGAAAACTGGAAATCCATGTGCAACAAAATGAAATTAAACCCCTATCTCTCACCATGCACAAAACTCAACTCAAAGTGGATCAAGGACCTAGGAATTAAACCAGAGACCCTGCACCTAATAGAAGAAAAAGTAGGCCCAAATCTCTATCATGTTGGATTAGGCCCTGACTTCCTTAATAAGACTCCTATAGCGCAAGAATTAAAATCAAGAATTAATAAATGGGATGGATTCAAACTAAAAAGCTTCTTGTCAGCAAAAGAAATAATCAGTAAGGTGAATAGAGAGCCTATAGAATGGGAGCAAATTTTTACCCCCCACACATCAGATAGAGCACTAATCTCTAAGATGTATAAAGAACTCAAAAATCTTAACATCAAAAAGACAAATAACCCAATCAATCAATCATCCAAGGAACTGAACAGACATTTCTCAGATATACAATCAACAAATATATGAAAAACATGTTCAACATCTCTAGCAATTAGAGAAATGCAAATCAAAACTACCCTAAGATTTCATCTCACTCCAAACAGAAGAATACAAACAACAATAAGTGTTGTGTGAAGATGTGGGGAAAAAGGCACACTCATACATTGCTAGTGGGACTGCAGATTGGTGCAGCCAATCTGGAAAGCAAGATGGAGATTCCTTGGAAAACTGGGAATGGAATCACCATTTGACCCAGCTATCCCTCTCCTCGGTCTATATCCAAAGGACTTAAAAACAGCCTACTACAGGGACACAGCCACATCAGTGTTTATAGCAGCACAGTTCACAATAGCTAAACTGTGGAACTGACCTAGATGCCCTTCAATAGATGAGTAGATAAAGAAAATTTGGTGTATATATACACAATGGAATATTACTCAGCAATAAATAAAATCATGGCATTTGCAGGTAAAAAGGATGGAGTTGGAGAAGATAATGCTAAGTGAAGTAAGCCAATCCTAAGAAACCAAATGCTGAATGTTTTCTCTGATATAATGATGCTGATTTATAATGGGGTTGGGAGGGGGAACATGGGAAGATTAGACAAACTCTAGATGTGGCAAAGGGGAGGGAGGGAAAGGGAAGGAGTATGGAGATAGGAAAGACAGTGGAATGAGATTACCCTAAGTACATGTATGAAGGGGCTGGGGATGTGGCTCAAGCAGTAGCGTGCTTGCCTGGCATGCGCGGGGCACTGGGTTCGATCCTATTTTATTTGCACCACATACAAATAAAATAAAGATGTTGTGTCCACTGAAAATTAAAAAAATAAATATTAAAAAATTCTCTCTCTCTTTAAAAAAAAATAAAGTACATGTATGAAGGCACAAATGGTGTGACTCTACATTGTGTATAACCAGAGATATAAAAAATTGTGCTTTATATGTGTAATGTGAATTGTAATGCTTCTTCCTGTCATATATAACAAATTAGAATAAATTAAAATAATAAAAATAAATTTAAAAAATGTTTTTTTAAAGTGAGTTACTACAAAAAAAGTCACCAGTGAATCAGGCATGGAGAAGAAGATAACAATAAAAATGTTAGAGGAAAACTGAAAACTGTAGAAGGGTCTTGCATCCGTATTACTCAGCCAAATGTTTTTTAGTCTTAATCTACTTGGATGAAAGCCAAACTAGAAATTAGAGATAATATGTTATTTATGCAAGAAAGACTTTAGGAAGTTCATCTGTGGACCTCTACCTAGAGGAAAGGCTTTCAATCTGTGAGTAAACATACATGTTTATATGTTTTATCTTAAAATGTTTAAGGTATGCACATATCATTTTCTATGATTCTTTGCATTCAGATATTTTGACTAATGGCCAACTTTTACTCGTTATGATTACAAAGTTTTTTATTGTAAGAATATTACTGAAGCCAAATTAGATGAGAGCCCCAGATGGCATCTGCTGATACAGGCAGGTGCTCGTGGGTGAGCTGATGAGGCTTATCTGAAACAAGTGTTTGTAAAGTAACTGTTGTTTCGTTTCACTTTTGGTACTGGGGGTTGAACCCAGGAGCACTTTACCACTGATACCACTGAGCTACATCCCCAGTAATTTTTTAAACTTATTTTTAATTTTGAGACAAAGTCTCACTAAGTTTCCCAGACTGGTCTCAAATTTTTGATTCTCCTGTTTTAGCCTCCCAAATCACTGGAATTACAGGCGTGAGCCACCACACCCAGCTTAAAGTAACTCTCATAATCTCAGATCATATTATCTTATTGCAAGTTTCTTTTTCCAGTTATTTGATTGAATTGAACAGTGTGTGTGTGTGTGTGTGTGTGTGTGTGTGTGTGTAAATGTTACTGGGGATTAAATCCAGGGGTGCCTTACCACTTAGTTATATCTCCAACTCTTTTTTTTTTTGAGACAGGGTCTCCTATATTTCCCAGATTGTCCTCAAATTTGTTATCTTCCTGCCTCAGTCTCCCGAGTCATTGGAATTATAGGCGTGTGCCACTGCACCAGGCTGGACTGGATTTTAACATCATATATTCCTAAAATTCAACTTTGTAGCTCAATTTTGAGTAAAGTAAAATTTGACATAATAATTCCACTCTTTGGTTCCTTTCCCTGAAGGAATTTCTTTATTGTTCCTATGGCCTGAATCTCTGAAAATGGTAAGTTTGAACATATAGGTGTATGCACACTCAACCACATAGGTAAACCACATGTTTAAATTCAGTTAAGCCAATTTTCATTGAGACTACTATCTGAAAATTGTGTTAAGTCATAAGGGCCCAAGAAAATACATGATGAGATCATTGTCCCCAAGAAACTTGGGATGTACCCAGAGGAGTCATATCACTACCTAAGACAAATGGGCTAACTGATGCCATGATGAAGGACCAAGGCAACAGGAGAGCATCCCAACAGGAAAAGCAGCCCAGAAGTAGGGAGATAATGTAGAGGAATTATACAACTCAATAATAATAGCATTATTTACTTTTAAATTGCTTTTACTTGTGTTTGTCTGATTTGATTCTCAAAGTCATTCCAAAAAGCTAGGTATGGTGGTGCACATCTGTAACCCCAGGTTCGTGGGTGATTTGAGGCAGGAGGATTGTAAGTTTGAGCTAGCTTGGGCAATTTACTGAGATCCTGTCTCAAAATAAAAAAATAAAAATGGCTGGGGATGTGGCTCAGTGGTAGAGTACCCTCTGGGTTCTACACCCAGGGTTCAATCCCAGTATCAAATAGAAAAAAAATTCTTGGAAGTAGAAAGGGCTCTCTATTATTACCAGCTAACACTGAGGACACAGATGTAGAGAGAGGTGATTTGTCCAGTAATATGGAGCCAAAGCTCCGACCAGCCTGCCTGGTGTTCAGATTGGTGCCGCTCCCACCACCACACAGCTTTGCATCTTCCGTGCGCATCCACCCACTTAACACCCTAGACACACTAATTGAAACCCATGCCTTAACTGCCCAGGTGAGGCTGCCATATTGTTTTATTGTCCCTCTTTTTTAGTAAGCCGGAGCTACTGCCAATTTCCTTAAATACAGAGATCACACTAACTTCCTGATTGGCCCAAGTTCTGCAGCACCATGTGGCCAGTGGGTGTGTGTTGAGGCATGGGGCTCAGGGTTCCTGTCTCTGGCCATATGGGCAGTGCCTAGGAGCAGTCCTCACCTCCAGCACTTTCTGAATTGTTCTAGGAAATATTTTAGGCTTGTACATTCTGGCCAAGCCTGGGCAAGCTCATCTGGGCCCTAGAATAGCCATTCACTAGGTTGAGTTGCAATTGCAGAGGTACCATTAGCCACCTGGATGAGGGACCTTATAGCACTGCATGCTTCCCAGTGGAGTCCAAATTACACTGTTACTGTGAATGAAGGGTCTGGAAACCACCATCTGTGTTCCCTCCACTGAAGACAAAATCCATAAATGTGTGGGTAATGATAAAAGGTCAACGTGTTGTTTAGGGCCTTTGTGTCTCTACTGGAATACTGTGGAAGATACAAGCAATCTTAAAGAAAGAATATAAGAATATAATATTATATGGTCCTCCTTCATGGTCCATTCATGTATTCAACAATTATTATTATTATTTTACTCTTTTATTGGGTATTGATACTCAGGATGTGAAAGAGTTCCGTGATGAGGTCATGATTTCAGTTCTTCATAGGGGAGACAGTCCCAATCAGGAGTACATAGTATTTTCTCCACACTGGCACCTCTTCAATGGTACTTGTGTCGCCGTGTGTGCTTGAAGTTCTTGTAAGAAAGGCAGTAGCTGAAAAGCATGTATGCTGCCAGCACCATGTTGATTCCTGCAATGCTCCCCTTCTCCCCGTTGATGTAATTGTTGTAGTACTGGTAATAACTTCTCTGAAATGCTCCCACAGTGTCCTTAGGGGTGAAATCCCACATCAGTATCCAGCTTGGAAGTTCCCCTAATTTGACATCCATGAGTTTCTTCTCTTTCATTAGCATGACTGATGCCATCTTGGAGTCCTGGTGTCCGCTGAGCCAGGCTGTGCCTCAGCGATTATTTATTGAGCATTTATTAAGTTCTGGGTAGTATACAAAGTACTGGAGATTTGGTTTATAGCATTGTGGCCCTGCCCTGGCAGAGTTTAGAGTCTACTGAAAGGATATAGATAAGAAAAGGAAGGATCACAGAGGAGTATGATAAATGTGATGGATGCACACTGGAAGCAGAGCAGGGTGCACAGCTATGCAGTGTGGCTGCAAAAAGGCTCTTGGCTAAAGGGACACGTACAGGCCCATACTCTTTTCTTCAAGACATGTACTACCTGGAGGAAGGGGAACCTTTTTGAAACCCACAGCAGGCCCACAGGGACCAGCAGTGACCCTAATTCAAAAGATACCCTATGTAGATTTAGGGTGGAAGGGAAAGCTTCTTGGGAAGAAAATCTGAACTGAGACTTGAGGAATGACTTGAACTAGCCACAGAAGGGAGTTGAGGAGAGGTGGGAAAGAACGTTCCAAGAAGAATCATAATCGCCAGCACTGAACATAGTCTTTAGCATATGCCAGGCACTGAGTGGGCTGCTCTAAAAGATTGACCCTTTCTAGAGGAAGTTGCATTTGGAAAAGCATGGGAACACAAGGACCCTTGGCACTTTTGGGGAGAGTGTAGAGTTCAGAGGGCAGAAAGGTCTATGAAGGCTGCAGTGATGATAACAGCTAATTATACTAGCTTCATACTTGTGCTGGGCTAGGCAACTCTGGCCATTTGGTACATATTGAGTCAGTTTATCCTCATGACTCTGTGAGGTGTACTGTTATTGCCCCCCCACCTTTTCATGGTACTGGGGATTGAACCAGGGGCACTCTACCACTGAGCTACATAACCCAGCCATTTTTACTTTTTTTTACTTTATTTTGAGGCAGAGACTCACTAAGTTATGGAGGCTGCCTTAAATTTGTGATCTTCCTGCCTCCTCTCAAAATATTGATCTAGAAGTTTCCTTACTCTAGAAATTCATTTATTCTTGTATTCCTTTATTCATCCTGCATTTATTAAGCACCCACTATGTACCAGACACTCAGCTAGGATTGAGAGAGTAGTGAACACAGTTCCTGATTTCAACCGGATGGAAATTTTAAGACAATCGAACAGGTCAGTTGAGGGTTTTAGAATATGTCTGCAAATTATTTGACAGCCCAGTCTCATTGAGAAGTGGAGTCTGTGACTATTCTCCTTGAATTCTGGGCTGCCCTTCATGATTCACTTAAACAACAGAGTGTAATAGATGTATCTGACTTCTGAGACTGGGTCCAAGAAATGGCCAGGCCAGCTACTGCTCACTCTGAGGGATACTAGCTGCCAAGTCAGAAGCAGACTAGTTTGATAGAGCCATGCTGGAGAGGCCACGTGTGGGCACTCTGGCGACACCTCCAGCTGGGCTCCCAGTTGACAGCCAGCATATCTGCCAGCGTGTGAGTGAGCCATCTTGGCTGTCCAGCCTAGTGAAGCCCTCAGATGACTGCAGTCCTGGCCAACATCCTTCTGTGACTGTCTGCATGACAAACCTCAACATGAACTGCCCAGCCAACCCTCTCTGCATTCCTTACCCACAAAAGCATGAGCAAAAGAAAATGGTGGTTAGACTGCAGATGTAATTTGTTATATAGAAATAGTATCTATAATCATCAACTTCCAAGAATTGATGGGAGCAGTGGCTCAGATGACCCAGTGGAGAAAGGGCTCAAATCAGGACAAAAGAAATTACCTACATCTTCCAGTTCAGTCGTGAGCATAAGACCTCCAGCTGCCTCTCAGCTTTTATTGCTAATTAGTCTTTGGGAAGGAGGGGCCAGGAAAAAACAGAAGAGGAAGTTAAATGAGCATTCTTTAATAAAGAGGAATTTATTTTGCATGTTGCTTTGGGTTTGGCATCCCCCCTAGTACACCGACATACAAGCCCCTCCACCACGGCAGGCAAAGCAGGAGCCTGATTAAATAAGGATCGTCACTGTGGAAGCCTACTGTTCTCAGTCTTTAATCTGGTAATAAACAGTACTCTCTGCTTTGGGCCTGACATCTTGATTAGTTCAACTGTTTGCAAGAGTCTACAGTGGTTTTGCTTCAGAGTGTCAGGTAAGCGTTACTGTGGCAGACAGGCCCCAAGGAGGTAAGAGGGGTAAGGCTGTAACTGGAAAATAAAGGCAAGCTCCTCAGGGTCCTGCCTTATACACACTGGTTAGTGGAGAGGGAGGAGAAGCGAATGAGGCAGGCGAAGGTGAGGAGCAGTGGGCTCCAGCATAGGAACATATATCCTTTCAGAGACCAAGATATTCACTATTTTTTTTTTTTTTTTGGTGGTATTGGGGATTGAACCCATAGGCGCTCTGACACTGAGCTACATCCCCCGCCATTTTTCTTTTTTATTTTGGGACAGGATCTCCCTAAGCTGCCAAGGCTGACTGACCTTGAACTTTCTGTCCTCCTGCCTCAGCCTTGCTCCCTAGGAGCTGGCCTTAGCCCCCGCTCTTAACCGACCTACTAAAGCAGAAAGTCATGTGTTTTCATCAGGACTATCTAGAAGCAGCTCTTGGGATTGCTTCTGAGAGGCAAGTAAGTATTCTTTCTTAATTAATGTTTCTAATTTTTAGTCAGTTTGAAATTAAAGAACTTTACCCATGAGCTATCCAAAATTTAGCTGTCCGTTCTTGCAGGGACCCCAGAGGAGCAATTTTCAACCTCATTTAACCTGCAAAATAGCTGTTATAAGAATTGGTGAAGGATCCCCTTATCACCCCAGGGTGCATGAGTGACAGAAACTTGATTAGGATTCAGGGCTTGTTTTGCCTGGGTCTGCAGCAAGATCTGTTGTTTGATTGAGGTGAGTCCCAGGGTCCTGCTATGAGACGACTTTCCTCCTATCACAGCTCTATCTAATTTTCAAAGACACTTTATCATTGGCAGGGTCTTGCTTTTAAGTTGGAGACTGGCTCTGCCAGGTGAATTGGCCACGAAGGTGTTTTTACCAGCTCTGCTGTGAAATTCAGATTTGTTCTTTATGTCATATTTGTATCACTGAAGTTGAGCTAGTGTGGGTGGAATGGTGGACAGAGGGGGAGTCTGATTGGTGGGACAGGGTCTATTTAGGGAATACCTGGATCCCAAGACTGCTGGGCAGGTTCCAGAAGCCTGTCTTTACTCTCTGGAGGCAAGGTCACTACTGAGATCAGCATTTGGTTTCCACTCTTCCCTGTGGGACATTCTCATAGTCTGCTCCTTTGGCACATCCTTTGTCAACATCTTGTTAAACTCCTTAAGCATGGAATGCAGGGATATTTTCATGACTACTGTAAGCTCTATGTGGTTTTGAATAAATAATCATAGGATTACATTTTCTTGCTACTGGAGGAGAATTTAGAGATAATTTAGGTTAGCCCCTTGTATTATACAGATGAGGAATGTGGTATTTTAAGAGATTAAGTGCTTTGCCTGAGGTTATACAACATGTTGATTGACAGAGGTGGGGAGAGAACTCAAAGTTCCTGGCTCTCTATTCAGTATGATTTCTACTGCACCTTATTTCTGTTGCCATATTTTAAAAAATCTGTTAATAAACGTAAAACAGAGTTTCCAGATAATTCTTTATGTAGGTGGCTTATTTGTGCATTTGTTTAGCAGTATTTCTGGCTTCTCACTAGATGCTGGTAGCAACTATTTTCTTGCCCAGTTGTAATAAAGAAAAATGTCTTTGATATGGCCAGATATTGGAGGGCAAAACTGCTCCCTGTTGAGAACTACTCATTTGAAGATTTGAAGTTAGTGCATCTTTCTGGTGCATGCCTGTAATTCCAGTGACTCAAGAGGCTGAGGCAGGAGGATCGAAAATTCCAGGTCAGCCTTAGTAACTCAGTGAGACCCTGTTTCAAAATAAAATAAAATAAAGTAAATTGAAGATCTAGGGATGTATAATGGTAAAGTGCCCTTGGGTTCAATCCCTTGATTGCAAAAATAAAAATAAAAAATAAGGTTTCAGGGCTAATACATAATAAGCCTGGTCCTAAAACTGATCAGAACATCCATGAAAAGAGAAATGGGAGAACCCCCTTGGCTACCTGGTCTAAGACAGACTCTAGGCCTTGCTCTGAGCAACAGCATAGGTAACCAGGAGTAGGATTGACTGCCCAAGTCCTGGGTTCACTTCTCACAACTGTCATTTTAGATTTAGTGTTAGTAAGACTATGGGGAGATCTTTTCACCCTTCAGTCTTTGCTTCCTTGTCCGTAAAGGCCCTATTAGTTACTATTCCTCCAATACTTCTTAAGGGAACATGTCCCCAGTAGGTCAAATCCTCCTGTCATTACTCTGATACCATGTACCAGCTCTATTAGAGCAGATCCATGTTGAATGTTGTTATGGTTTAAATATTAGGTGTCCACCAAAAACTCACGTGAGACAATGGAGGAATGTACAGAGGTGAAAGGCTTAGATTATGAGAGCTGTAACCTAATCAATGGATAGATTAATAATTTGAAAGGACTGTTGTCCTGGGTGATAACTATAGGCAGGTACATTGTAGATAGAGGAAGTAGGCCACTGAGGGGTGTGTCTTTGGGGTTTACATTTTGTTCCTGGCACCACATGCTTGTGTGTGCTGTCTCTCTCTCTTTTCTACTTCTGGCTGCTTATAAGCTTCCCTCCACCTTGCCTTTCTGCCATTATGTTCTGCCTACCTTGGGCCCAGAGCACTGGAGTTGGTTGATTATGGACTGAATCTCTGAAATTATGAGCTCAAAATAAACTTTTCCTCCTGCAGCTTATCAGGTATTTTGTTCACAAAAATGAAAAGATAACACAAATGCTTACACTCACCTGTAATTATCTGATTATCATTCATTCTTCATATCTATAAACTTCATTAGGGCAGGGACTAGATCTATTTTTCTTTCACTATTGTGTCCCAAATTCCAACCCACTACATGGTACATAGTAGGATTTAAGTCCACATGTGTTGAAC